AGCACACGGTGGGTTTGAGGCCTTGGGTTTCGTTTCGAAGTTTAATCTGTTGATTTGTTGTGTTATCCTCGAATTTAATATTAGGAGTTAGGGTTTGCGGAAGGTTAAAGGAAAGGGAGAGGAAGAAGAAAGGGGAAAAGGAAAAACAAACAAAGAAAAAAAAAAAGGAATAACAAATTTTTTAAGATTTTTTTTCTTGCTATCTCATTTTTTTGTCACACTGTGCATCCTAGGTGTCAAAATATTTTTACATGTCATCATTTTCAGTTAAGAAACGGGACACGTAGGTTGATATTTGACGGAAGGACCAAATCGGGGTAAAAATGGTAAACAGTAGGGACCAAATCAGGAATTTTTTTAGTTCAGGGACCAAATAGGGGTCCGTACAATAGTCCAGGGACCAAAAAGGGGTTTTAACCAAAGAATTATTAAGCTAAAAACAATTAGTGGATATCTTTACCACATAAAAGAGAATAATATTAGATATCTATAATAAATCAAGCAATTAACTCAATTTGAAGAAAGAATTTTGATTAAGGTTAAAGAAAATTTCTTAATTGAATTAAAACAAAAAATCTAAAATACTAGAAAAATACCAAAAAAAATTCCTTTGATCTCAATTAGATTTCTCTATTTGGATGGAGCTAATCACTTGATTTAATTATAAATATGTAATACTATTTTCATATATATAATAAAGACATCCACTAATTATTTTTAATTTACTATTTTTTTAATTTTTAAACTTTGAGATTAAATTATTGTATTTTTAATCTTTAAGAACTAATTTTATATACAAATATTTTATTCTCACTTTGGCAAATAGTTAACAAAATATTTAAATTTAAAAGGTAAAGACTTCATAATATAAAAGACTAAAACTTTCAAATTTATTAAGACGAGGGACTAAAAGGAACTAAAGGTATACCTTTGGCGTCTTAGGATTCATAATTATGGGGTAGATATTTAATTCCGGATATATAACCCTACCTTGTATTATACAGTAACTCAAGACTTTATAATTAATAAACAGTGATATTTTTCGTTCCATTGCAATTGAGAGGTTTTGATTTCCAACCCATAATATGCCAGTAAAATGAAGAGATGAAAAAAATTATTTTTTATTATATAATTTATTATTTAATACAAAAAAATTTAAGATCATTTAAAAATAATTAATTTCAAAGTATATACGGGTTGATACAAAAAT